TCCACTCACACTCCCTGAGTATTCCAGGCTGCCACTGCAGATTGCTTTTATGTCCTGAATAGGATTTACAAAAGGACACCAGTATTTCCTGCTTCAGAATATGATCCTTGGTTAGGAGGTCATATTTGGCTGCTACTCTTAGAAGACACCTCTATGTCAGAGATGACAGGGACCTATGATCTTTTCAAGCGTTTGGGAGAGGGATATAGGAAAATATTATGCAAAAAAACCATTCAGGTGTCTACTTCAACCACCAAGTGGGGATATGAGGCCACCATTGTCTTCCAGCTTGAGGTCTCAGAGATCTCAGAAAAATGAGCTGTAATGAAATCTAGTGCCCAGGATTTCAGCATCCCTGCATTGTGGATGTCAGCCAGGAAGAGAGTGTGGGCAGCAATCTCCACAGAGAGGTCCCTGCAGAGGGCATCCTAACACATGACCTTTAAACGTTCCAGGCCATATTTATCAGCAGCTGTCAGTATGGCATCTGCTATGCTGTGGAGGTCTGGTACCTTCCCCGTGTAAATGAAGTCCATCATTCCCTTGAAGCCTTGCGGCTCCAGATCATTGATCTCAACCTGGTGTTCTTCTCTCCTACATGTCATGTTTCAACATGGCTCTGAAAACTGGAGATTGAGCTGCTATGATGGCCTTGTAAACCAGGAATTCTTGGCCAGATACCACCAAGCAGCAGTCTGTGAAGGGGGAATTCTCTCACCATTCTCCTAGCTCATCTGCCATCCTGCACCTTGGAACCTTTATATCTGGCTTCCTGATATGGTCACTGATGATGAAGGAGTCTTGGAACACCGTCACCTTGCAGAAGACAGTGAGCTCAGATTCGGGGAGAAGCCATTGCCCATGATCCAAGAGGAAATCTCAAAGAATGAACCTTGTGCATCCCCATTCATAGCCTGATAAGAACTTAAAGACTCTTCTGGCCCTCATTCACAGGACAGGGTGCCCTCCAGTGCTTAAGATCCAGAACTGGAACTTTGGGCAAACCAGAAACTTTGGACAGCTGAACAATACTAGGTAAACTGACAAGTAGTCCGTTCTTTCTAGATTGAAGCCTTAGTGTGTAATCTCAATCACCACTGGTAGTTGCTTCCTATTGAAAAATTTGGGCTTCTATTAGGTTCCTACATTTCCTCCAGGTAACAATGAAAGTTGCTGATGGTCCATCTGCCGCAGATATTTTGTATGCTGAGTCATGTGTTGTTGTTCCAGGCCTTAGTTATCCTGTGCTCTGATACTTCTGCTGGAGGTACTTTGAGGTTTAAACTGGATCCAAATCAAACAACTGGGATGTGTTTTCTTCACCCTGTGAGACACAATAATAGACTTGACTTAGAGTGTTAGGTTATGTTTCTTATGTGTTACCACTTCTATGAAGATCTAACTTGGATGTGTCTGAAATTTTCAATTCAGATTTCAAGATAAGTTTCACAGAAAACAGTCTGAAGCAATCATAGTATCCTCTCAGCTGGGAACTACAGGTGTAATCCATAAGCAGCAGCCAGCTTTGTAACCAAGACCACCTGAAGACTGCGGGACACATGAAGGATATCCAGAGTATCTGAGGAAAGATATCATGTTGGCACAGCACTTTGATACCCCTCTAAATGAGTTGAATCACCAGGATCACTGGAATCCAGGATACTTTACCCTGTTGCTGGACCACTTTCCATTTTGTCCAGTGAGTTGGATCCTGGGACTCCATTCAGTTGCTTGCCCCAAGCACATCTCAACAGGGTTTCTTTGGAAGAACCTGTCTGGACTGGACTGAGCAGAGCTATGAGGAAGGATTTAGAGCAAAGGATGAAACAGACATACATGTTTGCTTACGAGAGACAGAGAAGAGAGAAAGATGCCAGTTTTTTTTTTCTCCAAACTCAATTCATGGGGACTGGAGGGTTGACTCACTTGGCCAAAGCAATTGCTGCTCCTGCAGAGGACCAGTTCTTGAGTTCAGCTCTCTGCATTCCTGGGTGACTTCTCAAACATCTGTAACTGGAGACCCAGAGGATTGAAGTCCTCCTCTTGTGTCTATGGGTGTGTCCATCCCTGTTAACCAAAGGCAATATAAAGTGAATAAAAAGTTTACAATCAGTTTCTGGATTCCATGGTTTTTCTGTTTGCAGAATCCCACTTTAGTCCATCCAGCTCTGCTCCACTGTGGAATTTTATACAGAATCCTCAGGGCCACTGCAATCCCACGAGCTTCGTGCTAGCCTGTGTCTTTTTATAGGCCAGTTAAGACCATTAATATTGAGGAATATGAATGACCATGGATTGTTCATTCTTGTTTGCTTTAGATTTGTGGTGAGTTGTGGGATTTGTGTGGATTTCCACCCCATTTATGTTTGGCTGTGGTAAAGTGGGATTATCTATTGCCTATGTTTTTCTGGTTGTAGTTAACTTCCTTGGATGGGAGTCTTCCTTCCACACCTTTCTTGAGGCCTGGATTAGTGGTATGTATTGTTTAAATATGGATTGTTCATCGATTATCTTGCTTTCTGGATCTGTATTGATTGAAAACTCTTCTGGCTGCAGTAATTTGGGTTGGCATCCTTTGTCTCTTAGTATTGGTAGAATATCTATCCAGGACCTTCTGGCTTTTAGTGTTTCCTCGGAAAAGTCAGGTGTAATTCTAATAGGTTTGCCTTTATATATTCCTTGATGTTTTTCCTTTGCTGTTTTTAATGTTGTTTCTATATTCTGTGTGTTTGGGGTTTGAATTTTTATGTGGTGAGGGAACTTTTTTGTGGGCAACTCTATTTGGTGTTCTGTAGGCTTCTTTTACTTCCATTGCATGTCTTTCTTTAGGTGGGGAAAGTTTTCTTCTATGATTTTGTTGAATATGTTTTCTGCATCTTGAGTTGAGTTTTTCACCTTCTTCTATAGCCATTAATTTTAAGTTCCACCTTTTCACGGTGTCCCCTATTTCTTGTATATTTCGTATTAGCGATTGTTGCCTTAACATGTTCTTTGATCAATGATTCTATTTCTCTTAAGATATCTTCAATGCCTGAGATTCTCTCTTCCATGAGTTGTATTCTGTGATTATTCTTGCATCTGTACTTCCTCATCATATACCCAGCTTTTCTATTTCCAGCACTCCCTCAGCCTTTGTTGTTTTTATTATCTCTACTTCATTTTTCATGTCTTGAACTGTTTCCTTCATGAGTTTGATTATTTTTTTCTTGGCTTTCTTTCAGGGAATTGATTGTTTCTTGTAGTTTTTGGTTTGTTTTTTTTCTCCTATTTCTCTAAGGCATTTTTCCAATATCTCTTTGAGGACTTCAATCATTTTCATGAATTTGTTTTAATAGTCATTATCTTCTGCTTCATCTCTGTTGTGATGATCAGTTCTTGATACTGTAGATTTCCTCGACTCAGGTTTTGTACTATTGTTTTTTTTGTTTGTTTCTGTTGTTCAATGTGTTTTTATATTCTCTCCTTCCCATCCCTCTTTCTGTTGAGTGTAGAAGACTATTCCTCTCCTGTTGTGCCAGGACCAAGGTTTCCTTCCAGTGGGTGCAAACATGTCCAATACTCTGATGTTCTCCTCCTCCGGTGCATGGAGCCAGGACTGGTACTGGGGTCTCTGAAGTCCCTGGGTGGGGTGGATCCCACAGGGATTGCATCAGCAGTGAGCAGGGCCAATGAGACTCAAATTAACTATCTATCGTGTTGGTCTTTTCCCTGCCTCTTAGATATCGTGTCTAGAAAAAGTATTTCAGACATACCTATCAGTGTGGTTAGTGAATATCCTAAATCCTTCTCCTGTCAGTCACTTAGATTGAGTGTCATTGGGTCATATGCTCCCTCATCCACAGGTAGGTTCTGTCCTGTTCAACCGCAGAACTGCCATGCATATTCTTCTATCCTTAATGTGAGAGATTATTCTCCTTACCATGGATTGCAGACTATATTCCACAGAAACCATAAAGGGAGGGGATTTAGATGGATTTCCCTCTGTAGCCTGTTGATCAAGATTCTCTGTACATGTCATCTCTCTTATGTTTGTCTTATCTTGGATAGTATCTCTGAGCCTAGACTACAAGGAAATAAGTTTATTGATTGAATGAGCACAGCCATTCCCAGTCTGGCTGTCCTGAAAGTCTGGCTACAACACTATCTGTGAGTCGAAGATAATTAAATCAATTGTTTCTGATTGTTTATTTTTACCTTTATTTTTTTGTACTTTGGAAACATTATTGCAGGTGTCCACTTAAGGCATAGATGATTCTTCACTAGATGGATTCAGGGTCAGGATAGTAGGTACTCCATCCAGAAATAACTCCTTTGTAGCAATTATATTTGTTAATTTCAAGACCCCATATTGGAAGGAAGATGCTCTTGAGTAAATGTTGAATATATCCTGAACCCTTTGCAAACCAGAATGCTCTTACAATTTTAAGCCTAGCAGAGTAAGCCTGGGTGTTCAAAGATTGAGGAAGACAGAATTACAAGTGAGGGATGAAAATTATCAGGTAATAAGAAGCTTTATCTTAGCACTCAGCATGAGCAAAATAAGAGGCCTTTAGGGTCTTCTGATAGCACACGCTTAAGGGGATCAGAAGCTAGTGTTCAAGGAGGATTAACAGAAGAGGACAGGGAAGACCACCAGTGAAATTTGGTGTTGCAATCCCCAGGACAGTGATTATGGATGGAATGAAGGGTAGGAAAAAAGACAGCCATTTTCAGAGCTTCCTGCTTGGCCCTGCTTAATGCCCACCATATAGGGATTCTTCCAACCTGAGCTCCATATTGTGAACATTGAGAACCCAAACAGAAAAAAAGACCTCTTCCTGGATCATGTTCATGGGAAGAATCATTTTCTTCACAAACAGGTATTTCTGTGTAACAGCTCTGGCTTTCACAGAACTATCTCTGCATACCACGCTGGCCTTGAACTAACAAAGAAATGCCTACCTGTGACTCCTAAGTGCTGAGATTAATGGTATATGCCAACACCGTGGGGTGGTAGGAATATTCAACAACACTAGAAGAGTAAATAACAACTGTGTAGAAATAGAAATCATTTCTTTATTTAGAGAAGAATAATTCAGGAGAGCAAAATTCACTTGTGATGGTTATTCTTGCTACCCAAATAGACCACCCCTGGAACTAACTAAACAATTCCTTAAAATGGATGGCACAACTGTGTGAGTGTTTTGCACAAGTTGGAGTAGGAGATCCACTTGAAGTACTCATTTTGGAGGTAGTAATCACATGCATAAAAACAGGATCAACAGGCCTGAAGACACACACCATTTTATTTTTAAGGATTTTATTTATTTATTATGCATACAACATTCTGCTTCCATGTATATCTGCACAGCTAAAGAGGGCACCAGATCTTATAACAGATGGTTGTGAGCCACCGTATGGTTGCTGGGAATTGAACTCAGGACTTCTAAGAGCAGTCGGTGCTCTTAACCTCTGAGCTATCTCTCCAGCCAGAAGACACACACCTTTAATCCAGATCTTGGGCTGGGGGGGACACACCCTAAATTGGGATACACCTTCTGCTGGAGGCATGTAAAAGAACATGCAAGAAGGAAGCTACAACACTCTGAGTGCTTGCACTGACATTTCAGTAACTCCATCTCTTCACTGCCATTGGAGAATACTTATTTTAATTTCAGCATATACTGAAGAGCAGCACCTACGTCCAACCTCCTGGACTCAGTAAGTACTCGATTCTTATACTTTTACTTCACAACTGATATTGTGGGATTAACAGGAATGCAGCACGAAGTCATTCTAAGGAATCTCCATTTTTCACACAAAGACGTTCATTCCCTATGTTCTGTTGCTCTAGAACCCTAGTACAACACTTTTGAATGTGTGTGTGTATAAAATGTTCCATATGCTTCATCAATTGAGTAAAATTGTCAAAAGTAGTTACCTGTTGACCTCAGATTCAATCTAGAAGTGAACTGTCCGTAGTGAGTAGCACAAACTCTCTTCTCTGAAAATAATATTGAAATCTTGATAGAAAATTTCAGAGTGATATCCAAGTTGCCAGCCCCATAGAAGTTAGAACCGAGGGGAGAAGTGAAAATAAAAGACTAAAAGCTATCTGTGGTCTTACATACATGGCTTACACTGTTTTACTTCACTGGGTCTCAAAAGAGGAAAGCACCCATATTAGCTACCCAGAGAAGCCAGGCAGATACCTTTCTTCTGAGGACTCAGGAGACCAAGGCAGACGGTTCTCTTTGTGTTCGAGTACACACAGGGCTCCAAGAGATTGAATGAAATTAAACCAGTAACAGAGCTCATGCCCTTTATCCCCAGCACTAGAGTGTATCAAATTAGGAGTGGGGCCTTCAGTAGTCAGTCTAAGCTTATCTCTTGTTAAGCTGAGGCGAGGCAACAGTGTGATGTTTGTTGAGAACTCATGGAGCCTGAGGTAGAGGCAAGAGCTAGGGGCATGGCTGCTTTGCCTTCCTGGCCTTGAGCTTGAAATTTGAACCCCAATACGAGTCTCTCAGGATTTTATTTTCCTTGTTACAGATATCTGCAATTGTGACCTCAGGTTGAAGAAGAAAAAGGCCTACTTCTTCATTTTGGATGCAGGTTCACTTTCAAATCACCACAGTAGATATGTCAGACGACCGGAGTCCAGAAATTTTCCTACAGTTGGACCATAAGCAACTTCAGATTCCTGCTTCAGGAAATAGAGGAAGCCATTAAAAGTCCAGCCTTCTCATCTGGATCCAGTTTAAACGACAAATGGTGTTTGAAAGTACAGACAAACGGGATCGACGAAGACAGCCAAGATTACTTGTCAGTTCACCTAACATTGCTCAGCTGCCCAAGGAGCCCAGTACGGGCAAGGTTCCGGTTTTGGATCATCAGTGTCGACGGAGAGAAAACCAATGGCATGGCAAGCCCAAGATTCTTCAAGTTCACGCCAAAACAACACTGGGGATTCAAAAAGTTCATCCACCGAGATTTGCTCTTGTTTCTGGAGTCTTGGCTTTTCCCAGACAATGAACTCACTGTCTTCTGCGAGGTGGACCTCGTGGTCCAAGA